GCGACTAGTTGACTAGAAAAATCTTTAGTAGAGGGCAGGCCTACTTAGCACAAGGAAGCTCTCCATTTTTAAAATAAAATGCTATAGCCTAATGACATTACGAAAAGTGCGACAGCTGCAAATCACGTCGTTATTGCACTGCACGAGTTATGCATGCATAAGGAGTCAAATGTTGTTGTTGTTTTTTTTTATCAGCCTAATTAGATTATGAAGAATGATTTGTTGATCTTGTTTTCCTTTTAATACATACCTTCCGCAATATATTTTTCAATTACTTTCAAAAAGTGGTAGGGACAATATCGACCCTGGCAAAAAGTGGTGGAGATATGTAGCGGGGTTAAGTTAGTTTTGTTTTTGATATTCCTGACATATTCAGCGATAAACGGCAATAACTCCAAAACGACTTGCCCTAAAAAAATCTAAACAGCATTACCAACTAAAGGGCTCAGCTGATAATATTTCACAACCTTCTTTTTAATAATTTTGGCTCGATATAATAAGCACTGCCACGCAGTTGCCGTCTCAATGTGCAATAAGCCGAGAGAGCTCGCTCTCTGCGGAGCTTTCGACAAGGGACCGTGGTGAAAGTGCAGTTTTTCTTCGTTATTTGCTATAGCTCAGTATAATAGTGTTTTTGTAATAGCTTTTTTGTTAAATGGCCTATAGACATGAGACCAGTGTCAATCAATAGAGGGGGACAGTGGACATTTTTCACAACCTTCCATTTTACCCAAAGTGGATGATTAGGGAATTGCATGTCCAAAATTAACATTCTTTTTGTAATAACTTTTTACATCAGGGAGACAGAGGCATGAGACCAGTGTCAATCAATAGAGGGGGACAGTGGACATCTTTCACAACCTTCCATTTTACCCAAAGTGGATGATTAGGGAATTGCATGTCCAAAATTAACATTCTTTTTGTAATAACTTTTTACATCTGAGCTGATAATATTTCACACCCTTCTTTTTAATTATTTTCGCTCGATATAATAAGCCTGCCACGCAGTTGCCGTCGCAATGTGCAGTAAGCCGGGAGAGCTCGCTCTCTGCGGAGCTTTCGACAAGGGACCGTGGTGAAAGTGCAGTTTTTCTTCGTTATTTGCAATAGCGCAGTGTAATAGTGTTTTTGTAATGGCTTTTTTGTTAAATGGCCTATAGACATGAGACCAGTGTCAATCAATAGAGGGGGACAGTGGACATTTTTCACAACCACCCATGTTAACCCTACTGGTAGAAAAGGGAATTGCATATCCAAAACTTACCTTCTTTTTGTAATTACTTTCGTCAACAGGAAGATAGAGACATGAGACCAGAGTCTTTCAATTGTAATAACTTTTTACATCAGGGAGACAGAGGTGAGAGACCAGTGTCAATCAATAGAGGGGGACAGTGCACATTTTTCACAACCTCCCATTTTACCCCTAATGGTAGAAAAGAGAATTGCATGTCCAAAATTAACCTTCTTTTTGTAATAACTTTTTACATCAGGGACACAGAGACATGAGACCAGAGTCTTTGAATAGAGGGGGACAGTGGACATCTTTCACAACCTTCCATTTTACCCCTACTGGTAGAAAAGAGAATTGCATGTCCAAAATTAACCTTCTTTTTGTAATAACTTTTTACATCAGGGACACAGAGACATGAGACCAGAGTCTTTGAATAGAGGGGGACAGTGGACATCTTTCACAACCTTCCATTTTACCCCTACTGGTAGAAAAGAGAATTGCATGTCCAAAATTAACCTTCTTTTTGTAATAACTTTTTACATCAGGGACACAGAGACATGAGA